CCTTGTTATACCTCGGTATGACTCGGTCGATTTTCACAAATCTTCACAAAGTCAAGGAGCGGTGGAAGCAGCAAGAAAAGGAGAGGGAAGACGAGCGACATCAGCGAGTCTTGAAAGAAAAGGAGGCCAAGCAGCCAAGCAATAGGGAAGTGCGAGAATGCCACATGAAGGTCACACTAAGTCACACGAACCTGTTTTTGATTCCATGCGATTTTCATCACTTTTGAAGCAGTTCTTTCAGTAGTTCTTCCATGCTTTGCCTTTGACAGGATCGCGATGAGCAGCTTCGCTATGAGAAGCTCCTGAAAGATCAAGAAGAACAGCGTCGTAAGGATGAAGAAGTTCAACTTGTCGACAAGACCCTCAGCTTCAGAGAGTCATGGAATGTCATGGAATTAGGTGGCAGTGTGTACACTCGTACGATGGTCTGTTTCTTCATGTTTCTTCGCACTTAATTTTGCACCTTCTCAATTCTGCTACTATATATTGCAGCCCAGTAGAACCTATCTCCCACCATTCGATTACGGATTTACTTGTCATCCCTATTGCACCATATGCTTTAGAGCCAAGGATTGTGTCGGAAATGGAGGCAGACCAGAAACGCCACGAGAAGAAGAAAGAACAAACCAGGCCCATCACAAGTCGTCAAGTCGCTAAGTCATGACAAGTCATGACAAGTCCCCAAGTCATGCGCAGTGCTTGGGCACAGCAAGTCATTTCTTGGTTCCAGGCGTGCTATGCGGAAGGTCTTCGAGCAGAATGCAGAGGCGGGAACCCCAAATGGCATTCAAATCGGGTTACGACGGTTACGGCATGTTACGGTCTTGCTTGTGCCCGGGTGGTCTCCCTCCTTTCCGAACAGGATTTTACCCACCGTTCAAAGCAGGCCGTTCATCACAGACATGGCGTTGTTCAGCGAAACCAGCGACGCCCAAGTCCTTTCCAAGTCCCTTCCCAGACCCTCCCAAGTCCTCCCCAGCCTCCGATTCCCCCCCCACGCCCGTGAAAGTAGACCCCAAATGGCTGAACATTGTAGAGTAAGATGTTCCTGAAGTACTTATATCAATCTGGGCGCAAGTGATCCTGTTGTTTGGGCGCAAGTGAGGGCTGTTCCTGTTCAAATCGGGGAAAACCGGCCAACAATTACAAACGAAAGAAGCAAGAACAAACAAACTCAGAACGAAATCATTGAAATATTATATAGATATATATGATATATATGATATGTATAATATATACTATAACGCACACATACATACATACATACGTACATACATACATACATACATACATACATGTGGCTCCCCGGGTAAGAGTCCACAAAGGTAGGGAAACCGGTACCAACCAGTTTCTTGGATTTGGGGTTCCTACCCCAAAAGGAAAATCTCCCCTTAAAAGGGCTCTTCACCGTGACCCCCTGGGCCCTTATGAACTTGTTACACTTCTCGATACCTGTGCTGCCCACAGCAGCCGCGTCCTCGCTTTTGCACCTCACGTGCCTTGAGCCATGCGCAGTGGCGATGGCGAAGTCTCTGGTTTCCCATGCAGCCTGCAGGTGGCATATGGTTCGTACATCCAAGGTTACTCAAGTCACACTGGTCTATTTTTCTTTTGGATGTACTTTCGGATCCTCATCTTCCAGTGCCGCGGTTGGTAAGGATACCCACTTTGCCGCGATCTTGCGGTGTGAGTTGTTTTGTAACGTTTGGCTCTCATCAAAGATTCTGAATCTTCCCAGCCGTAGCACTGACCTTAAAAAAGAGGATTCCATCGGCTTCGTCAGACAGTCGGCCAGCATAATTGCTGTAGAAATCCAACGGCACTGCGAATGCCCTTCTGCCTGCTGCTTGATAAGCATCACCTCCACAGTTGTTCTCCACTCTTCACAGTTAGGTACTGCCAGTTTAGTGACTAAGTCATATAAACTTTTGCAATCTGTAATAAGTAGAGCTTTGGGACATGCTTGAAGGGAACGTTCGGGATATTGCCACTTGAAGGTTGGACTTAGGATATAACCCCATAGACACCTAAGCCAGGTTAATTTGTCAAGAGAGGAGCTCATTGCATATGCCTCGGCACTAAGCGTTGATCTCACCACTCTGCCTATCTGTTTGCTATTCCAGGACATAGGACTGATTTCGGATGTTTTGTTGGCAGCAAGTTCGGGCGTGCAGGCAACGATAAACAATCCCTGTTGGGCCTTTAACTGAGAAGCACTGGCAAAACTTGCATCGCCGAAACTTGCAAAGGTGATTCGCTCCAAAGGCAGAGGTCTCACCATTATGGCCGTATCAGCCGTCTGCTGGGCTTCAATCAGCACTCGGTTGGCGTCCAGGAGAGTTGACACTGTCGCCTTGCAAATGTTCTTCTGGATAAAAGCTACCTTTGCTGCTATGTCGGGTCTGCTATGTACAGCCGCATACTGAAGGCTCCCACACAACCCCCTCAAGTCTTGAACTTCTTGGGCGTTTGCCATTTCATTTTTGTTGGCTCTCCTATTTTTGGGTACTTGTATTTGTTCAATCTTATTGATATATGGTTCCTGACTGATTTTGATGGAGTTATCAGGCAGCTGTTCAATCTCAAGACCCGTGAGCCGAAATTTTCTGAACTCTCTCTGTCCAAATGGAAGCACTTTTTGCAACTCTTTCAAGGCATTCTCATAGTGGTGATTCCCTCCTCCTATGCCATCATCAACATGAGTTCCTAAGATTCCATCCAGAACTTCGGGATTGGTTTTGTTTCGCAACAAGAACAGGCAATTGTCAAGTGGATGAGCTTCAAATCCTACTTTCTCTAGTGGACGTCTAAACTCCTTGTAAAAGAGCAGTGGTGCATCAACTCTGCCATATGCGTTACCCTCTAGCAACAGGACCTCGTCACTTGTCATTTTGAGAAGTCTCTGAAGTTCTGGAACGGGTTCCATGGCCAATTGCCTTCCATCTGATTTCCCACGGAGAAAGGCCGTGGTTATATCGAAGTTTTGGACTACCCAACCCATCGATGAGATCACCTGCAAACACAGCATTCGAGCATCTCTGGACAAAGTCGGGGATTCTGTACTTACCTGATCAAGTTCGGGGTCTTGATATCCCCGTACAACAAGTCTGGCTTTGGCCTTCTGACCCTTGGGCATGGACGGGTCAGGTTTCCATGTTAAAATCCATCGACTCGTCATGATGCGGTTGGGGGAAATTTTGGATCTCATGATTTTCCTGACAGCACTGGTTTCCAACCAACAGTTGAGTTCCTTAGATTTGGCTTTGTCAAAGAGATCTCTCTCGGATGCATTCAATGTGGCATATCGGACTTCGGAACGTGCACGCCTGGCTGCAGTGGCCAAAAAGGAGGTGTTCATTTTGGGATCTTTTATGAACCTTTGGACGTGCTGCTTGGGGACATCAAACTCATACTCACAGTATGGTCGAGGATCCTCTTGAGCATCATCCCATAGCGTGTCTTCGTCGCTAGGGATGGCAGGTCCGGGAACATTGGACTCCGAAAAGAAGGCATTATAGACTATGTTACTGTCTTCAATGCTCTCATTCCCACTTAGGTTCTCCCCAAAGTTACTCCCCGTAACATTATTCTCCCCGTTAGGCTCGGGTGCAAAGCTACTTGGTGACACATCACTTGGCTCGCTCCATTCATGGTCTACACTTTCTGGGATGGCCACTTCTTCAGGACGCAATTCTCGAGCTTCGGGCACAGGTTCATGTGAGGCTCTTCTAGAAGGTTCTTCTTCAGGTTGATTTCCTAGTGGGTGGTCCTCTTCCATGGGTGCTTCAACTGGGACATCACTTAGGTCTGAGAATTGGAACATTCCACTTCTTTCATGGAGTCTCCTTTGCAAATTCTCAGCCAACTTTTGGGCCTGCTGTGCATCGATTTGTTGGCTGAAAGACGCATGTCGCTCAAACTCTCTAAGGCTGACCGGACGGAGGTTATCCCTTGCACATCTCAACAACCTATTTATGTGAGTTATCCAAACGATAGTCTTTGATTCAACCAAAACAACTTGAGCTGGCCCACACCATTTTCCTTTCTCTATCATGTTGGCTGATTTGCGCTTATCCCAGAACATACAGGGTTGTCCACATTTCCATTCATTGATTTCCCCTCTGGACTTCCTCAGGGTAGCTCGGCGGATGGCTTGACTGTTGTCACTGTCAATGAAGGCTTTTCGGGCCAACACTCTGAGTTCCAGCGACGCACGGAACTTTTCTGCCTCAGGTCCTTCATTGAAGGCTGCATGCATGTGTGCCGGAGTGCTTTCATCACTGGTCAACGATGCGGGGAGTCTTGTTGCCTTTCCTAGGACTGCTTGCTCAGGACTGTAGCCACATGTTGTAGAAAGGCTATTCTTGGCTCGAAAGACTTGAAACAATGCTCTTTCAAATTCTCCTTCATTGTTTATCGGTTGAGCTTGATCTATTCTGGACAACATCTCTTTGACAATTGCTCCATGTCTTTCAATTCTACCTCTCTGCCATGGCCCTGCAGTGAGTATTGGGGTGATATTCCCTTGCTGGAGGAATTCTTTCCATGGTTCGGCAACAAATTCACCTCCGCAATCCATGACTAGCTCGCTTGGTATTCCTGCCCAGCTGCTCCAACATTCTTCAAATACTTTTTGCGCTTGGATCCCATCACGAACTGTGCGTCTCCCCAAGTGAAATTGCGTGGCTTCATCAATCAAGTGAACAACATATCCTTGATACCCTGTAGTGCTTTTCCAATCAAAACCATCAATGTAAATTCGGTGGTTGAAATCTCTAGCTTCTTTGAGGGTTCCGGTTGGGTTCAAGCTTGGTGGCCGTCTTTCCACACATGAGGGACATAGGTAATCCAAGGCACCTTGGACCAGCAGCTCTTCTGCTCCGAGTTCTGCCAGGTGTTTGGATAAACGCTCTGATGTCGGGTGACCAAGATTGTGATGCAACTTTCTGATATATGCTTTTCTGGGTTCAGACAATTGGAGAAATCTTGGACCAGACACCGACACTGCAGCGGACGTCCATGAGTTGGCGGGCATGACACTCGAAAGGTCAGGTGCTGAAACTTCAGGGTTCTCAGCATTCGGCTCACCGACTCTTCTGGTGGAGTCACTTGTTGGGACTGGCATATGATTCGTCCCAGGCGGTGTTCCAGGGTCTTCCATTATGGCGTCTCCTACAACTTGGACCTCTGAGGACTCTTTCTGTCTACCAAAAACACATACCATGACATGTGAAGGCATGGATGCTTTCCTTTTCTGATGACTGTTGGGCATGGACTGCAGATCTTCAGTTCCAAGGTCAAACACTTCGTATGACAATCGGCTCAGAACTACCGTTCTTCGGTGAGGCAAACGATCTGGGTGGACCATGTATTTCTCTCGACCCTTGCATGCCATTACTGACTGGACTTGCATTTCAGGGCATAGGCTTTGAAGAACTTGTACTTCGGCATTATGAGGACCATCCCATTTAGTTACCCCAGATTTAGGTAGTTCCTTTCGATATTTATCCATTACCCCTTTCCATCTTATGTCCTCGATTTTCTTAGGTGGTTCTTCTTCGTGAGTTCTTTTACGGCTTGACTTCTTGCCGGTTTCGTTCTCTTTGACTCTGGAACGTTTTGCCATGCTCTCCATTGGACTTCCGGATTCTTCCAGCTTTCGGACGGGAAAGCATTCTTGCTGGACGACCATGGTCGGGACGGTTACATGTTCATGCACTGGTCGCATGATCACTTCGGCAATCTTCTTTGCAAGAACTCTGGGATAGAACGCTGAGAAACGGGACACCTGTACAGTTTTTCCATCAACGGTACATGATCCAGCTACATGTGCATGGGCATGATCTCTGGAGCACAGTCGGTTATCCAGGCTTCTAAACATTTCCTCGGATGAGGTTTGTACACGGGTGCTCTTTTGCATCGGTTCTTGCAAAGATGGATGCCTTAAACCGAACTGACACTGATCGAAGAAGGCTGGCTTGGTACGACCGCATATTTCTTGCATTTCTTCCTGTTGCCACATTCCGGAAGGTTTGGGGTTTTCAAGGTGAAAATGATCACCCCGATCCAACTGTATCTTGCAAATCAGGTCACACATATAAAGCTGATCTTTGGATGTAGCTTGGCTTTCACGGATGCGGCTGTAGGATTCCATGCTTTTCGTCTGGTTCAATCGGTTCCAAGGGCTCCAAGGGCCGCACTCTGGAGCTAGCCATATGTGTCGTGGCTTCCACAGGAAGATCTTTCGAAACAGCTTGATCTGTCCTTCAGTGGTACTTAGATCCCCATCTTCAAAGGTGAATCTCTTGGCTACCCCACCCCTCTTATTGACTTCATTCGTTAATCGGCTACTACTGCTGGCATACACTTCTAGGAGATCTATGGGCTTATGACCCTGAATTGGCATGTGATGGCGACATTGGTTCATCATGTGCAATTCATAGGCATTCTCCAGATGCATTGATGGGCCTGGATTCGCTGATCTTTCTAACGGCCTCTCAGTGCCTGCTTCTCCATGTCGCTGCGAGCTTGGCAGTAGGTGATGAAGTCCTGCATTGCCGGGGTCGCGTTCTTGGCTCGTGCACTGACCCAATCGACGTAGCTTTGGTGTTCTTCGTACACCTCTGTGAATCGTCTCCCATTGTGTGTTTTCCCCCATGATACTCTCTTGTTGCCCCATGACTCCAAAGCCTGAGCAGTCAGCGCAAGTTGACCCTCTCGGTTGTTCTCCGGAATCAGGTTGTGATTCAGGTGGCTCATTCTTGAGGCTCCCTGAGATCTCGGCTGGCTCTTCTTTGGTGGAGTCCTTGTTGCAGCCCTGATTTCCTCCTCCCTCCTCTTCCAGCTCCCATGAATGGTCCGATAGGACTCCAATCTCCGAAGGACTTGGCCCAGCGCGACTTGAAGTCCTCTTTGGGGATCTGTTTTCCTTGAGGATCTGGGAGAGTTCCTCGATCCGATCCTTCTGGGCATTCACGTTGGCCAAGAGAGATTGGAGGGAGGTCGCATGCTGCACGGTGATCTCCTGGTCGGGGGCTTTCACCTCGATCTGGTTCATCAAGATGATCAAGAGCATTCTGAGGGATTCCATCACTGCTTCTGCCGTCGACTTGATCAGCTTCATGGCATCCCGTTGAGTCAACATTCTGGAAAGACTCACTTCGGACAAGACCAGGCGGGGGCAAGACGTTGGACACTCGAATGGCTGCTGTTTCTTTGGCTGACATGGCATTTTCTGTGACACCTAGGCACAGCTCGGACATCTTAAAAACATACAGACCATTCTCACTTTCTCGTAAGTTCAACCATCTTTGAATCTTGGATAGATAACACTGATTTGTTGACAGATCTATCATGGCTCCTAGGGCTTTCATGGCCTGAATGGATATGAGGAAAGGAGTTGCCCGAGGAACAATTTCCACAACCATCCAGATTCTGCTACGGCCAGCAATGATTGGAACTCGGACTTGTTTGAAACTGTAGGTTATTTGATTATTGCCAAATCTAAATCCTACTTTGCTGGGGTGTTCTTGCACTCGTGATTGCACTTCACTGGGCAGACTTTTCATCACACCCGGCCACAAGTCAGCTCCTATGACACTGCGGCTGGCTCCAGTGTCCAGTATGGCTAAACCATCTTCTGCAATGGCTCCCAAGCTCGGTCGGCTGTGGAAGCACTCGGATGCTTCATGTTCAGGCACTGACGGCTTCGTCCTGGGATTCAAACGAAATCGGAAAAACTGTTTCACCTGGGGAACTAGGTGGTGCAGGCTGAAGGCAACTTCATGGGGAATCTCGCTTTCACATTTCGGATGCTCAGTGTGGTTCTCGGTGATCGGCTGCTTCCGGATGCATTGGCTCACAAAACATCGGATGCTGTGGCATGCTTTGGACAAAACTTGACATATGCCCCATTTATTATCCTTATCCCCTTTACCCCTTTTATTATTCCCCATGGTTGACATGTTTCCGGCCTCATCCGTTTCCTCGAAAATCACATGGGCTGGTTCATCATCACGGGCATAGGATCTGAAGCTCTGGTGGGTCACAAAGTTTGCTTGATCCGTCGCTGCAGGAGGCTTGTTCGGGCACTCTGCTTTCCAGTGACCTTTCTCTCCGCATGCTCGACAAAATGTCCTTGAGATGCGCTGCAAAAGACTTCCCTTGCCAGACCCTTTTCGGAACTGATGAAACTTCCCAGCCCCTTTTGATTTCCCTTTTCCAGTCGCAGGCCAGTATCCTCGGGATCGTTTCCTTTCCAGGATCTTTGTTCGCGCCTCTTGGTAGCTCAGCAAAGCATTGTGGAGGTCAGGAACTTCTTGAAACATCTCTTCTAGATCACGTTCAAAACTCACCACATTCAAGGCATCTGAGTCGCCTTGAGATGCTAGGTGATCCACAAACTCCTGGTCGATCTCTTCCTCTTCATAGTTGTTGTACTGATTGACACTTCCAGCTGAAAAGGCTTCCTGCTCATTGGTCACCAGGTTCTGCTCAGGTTCTACATAGTTGGTTGGGTAGACCTTCCTTTTGACCTCACCTGATGACAAAATTGAGGTTGCCAGGGTTCGCATTGCTTGTTCGATCTTTTTCGTATCCATGTCTCCATTCGTCATTGTCAGGACACGCTTCTTGTCCTCAGGGCTCAATGAACTCTGTCTGAGGAGCAGGAAGGCATGGAACTCCTTGATACTCTTTGCACCCAGCTCGTCCATCGCAACCTGCAAGCGGTTGACAAAACTCATGCTGGACTCGTCGCTCTTCTGAACTGTCTTGTATACTGCTTTCTCAAATTGTTCATACGTCTTCATCTCGGTGGACTCTTCCCATGTAGACAGCGCCGCCAACAAGTTTTTGACGCCGTGCTCAGGATCAACCAACTGGGCCGAGTCGAGGTTTTTCACTTGTCCCCAAGCCGTCCCTCGACACAGCATAGCTAGCCGTGGTGCTAGCATTGGTCGATCCTTCTTTGGGCAGATCGTGTCTATGAACTTCACCTTTTCTATGTACTCTCTGACGTTGTCCACTGCCGGGTCAAACGTAGGCAGCAAGGTCCAGATGTGAGACCCTTTGTCATCTGAGATCTCAGCAGTGGACGTCATGGCGGGCGCCCCGGGCTTTCCACGAAGTCACGTGGGCCCTCCGGGCTCCGCTACCAATGTGGCTCCCCGGGTAAGAGTCCACAAAGGTAGGGAAACCGGTACCAACCAGTTTCTTGGATTTGGGGTTCCTACCCCAAAAGGAAAATCTCCCCTTAAAAGGGCTCTTCACCGTGACCCCCTGGGCCCTTATGAACTTGTTACACTTCTCGATACCTGTGCTGCCCACAGCAGCCGCGTCCTCGCTTTTGCACCTCACGTGCCTTGAGCCATGCGCAGTGGCGATGGCGAAGTCTCTGGTTTCCCATGCAGCCTGCAGGTGGCATATGGTTCGTACATCCAAGGTTACTCAAGTCACACATACATACATACATACATACATACATACATACATCCATGCATGCATGCATGCATGCATGCATGCATGCATAATGTTGGTTCCTGATTAGTGTGTGGCCCCCCCTCCCTAAACTATATCTGGACTCTCTTTAAAGTAGAAAGTCAAAAACATTCTTCCCAAAAGAAAAACATATCCTCAATTAAGTAAGGATTTCAATTGGCTACAATTGAAATCTAATTACTATTGTTTTTTTTGCCGATGAAGTTGTGGTATTTGTAGTACTTGTAGTACTTGTAGTACTTGTAGTGCTTGTAGTACTTGTAGTACTTGTAGTGAACCCAGCAAACAAACCTACTAAAGTGAAATGGAGCCTCTCCTGGTCCAGGGCCTTGGAAAATTGTGGAAAAGCTGTTCTTTAATAAGGGTTTAATAAGGGATTGGCTTCTTTGGGAAAGGCTTGGAGTTTGAATTTGGCAATTGCCTTTGGAAAAGGCTTGCTTCTCTTCTGGGCTTCCAGGGGCTGCTCTGGCACAGCTTGCTGCAATAGTGAACCCAGCAAACAAACCTACTAAAGTGAAATGGAGCCTCTCCTGGTCCAGGGCCTTGGAAAATTGTGGAAAAGCTGTTCTTTAATAAGGGTTTAATAAGGGATTGGCTCCTTTGGGAAAGGCTTGGGGTTTGAATTTGGCAATTGCCTTTGGAAAAGGCTTGCTTCTCTTCTGGGCTTCCAGGGGCTGCTCTGGCACAGCTTGCTGCAATAGTGAACCCAGCAAACAAACCTACTAAAGTGAAATGGAGCCTCTCCTGGTCCAGGGCCTTCGAATATTGTGGAAAAGCTGTTCTTTAATGAGGGTTTAATAGGGGATTGGCTCCTTTGGGAAAGGCTTGGGGTTTGAATTTGGCAATTGCCTTTGGAAAAGGCTTGCTTCTCTTCTGGGCTTCCAGGAGCTGCTCTGGCACAGCTTGCTGCAATAGTGAGCCCAGCAAACAAACCTACTAAAGTGAAATGGAGCCTCTCCTGGTCCAAGGCCTTGGAAAATTGTGGAAAAGCTGTTCTTTAATAAGGGTTTAATAAGGGATTGGTTCTTTTGGGAAAGGCTTGGAGTTTGAATTTGGCAATTTTGGAAAAGGCTTGCTTCCCTGTTGGGCTTCCAGGGGCTGCTCTGGCACAGCTTGCTGCAATAGTGAACCCAGCAAGCAAACCTACTCAGATAGAGATGCATTTAGAGGCTCAGATAGAGAGATGGGCAAAAACTTGACTGAGCTACAGCGTTTTTGAGAAAAAAATGCCTCTCAGTAATTACAGGTTTTTTTTTCAAACAAAAGGGCTCTCCCAATTTTGTTTTGCCACAAAAGCGAACCCTCCAAACAATACATGAGTTTCAAAATAATTTGGAAAATTGCCACAATAGCGACCCTAGCTACTAATCAGGAGCTAACATTACATACATACATACATACATGCAGGCATGCATGCATACATACATACATACATACATACAGACACACATACATACATACATACATACATACATACATACATACATACATACATACATACGCACATACATGCATGCATGCAAACATGCACGCATGCATGCATGCATTCATCCATCCATCCATACATCCATACGTCCATACGTCCATACATCCATACATCCTTACATCCATACATCCATCCATCCATCCATCCATACATCCATACATCCATACATCCATACATCCATATATCCACATATCCACACATCCACACATCCATACATCCATACATCCATACATCCATACCATACCATACCAAACCATACCATACCATACCATACCATACCCAACCATACCATACCATACCATACCATACCATACATTACATACATTTCATACATTACATACATTACATACATACTATACATACCATACATGCCATACATGTCATACATGCCATACATGTCATACATGCCATACATAGCATACATAGCATACATAGCATACATAGCATACATAGCACACATACCACACATACCACACATACCACACATACCATACATACCATACATACCATACATACCATACATACCATGAATACCATGAATACCATGAATACCATGAATACCATGAATACCATGAATACCATGAATACCAAGAATACCATGCATACCATACATACCATACATACCATGAATACCATGAATTACCTACCTACCTACATACCTACCTACCTACATACCTACATACCGACCTTCATGCCTACAGGCCTACATGCCTACATGCGTACATGCGTACATGCGTACATGCGTACATGCGTACATGCGTACATGCGTACATGAGTACAGGCGTACATGCGTACATGCGTACATGCGTGCATGTGTACATGCGTACATGCGTACATGCGTACATACGTACATACGTACATACGTACATACGTACAGACGTACATACGTACATACGTACATACGTACATACATGCATGCATGCATGCATGCATGCATAGATACATACATACATACATACCTACATACGTACGTACATACATACATACCTACATACGTACGTACGTACGTACGTACGTACGTACATACATATGTACGTACATACATACACACATGCAAACATACATACATACATACATACATGCCATACATGCCATACATACTTACCTACCTACCTACCTACGTACGTACGTACGTACGTACATACGTACATAGATACATACATGCCATACATGCCATACATGCCATCCATCCATCCATCCATCCATCCATCCATCCATCCATACATACATACATATCTACCTACCTACATACATACCTACATATCTGCATACATACATACCTACATACATAAATACCTACATACATACCTACATACATACATACATACATAGATAGATACATACATACATACCTACATACATACATACCTACCTACATACATACATACATCCATACATACATACAGGCTCAAGGCTGGGGGTTCCCCGGAGCTTCGAGGAACCCTCAGTCTTGATGCTATACCATAAAGGTCGTTCTTGTATAGAGATGGGGGGTGGGGGGGTGGGGGTGGGGGGGTGTGTAATAACTTCATGTGAAGTGCGTTGGATGATGTTGAATCCTGGAAGATGTTGCTTGGTTGGAAGATGGTGTTACGTTGAAAGTTTCGTTGTTGTTTACAGAAGGGGGGTGGGGGGGTGGTGTAATAATGTCACGTGAAAAACATAAAACACTGTAAAATACAGTGTGAAAACAACATGTTCCATCGCCATCAAAAAAAACTTCATGAACACGAAGATAAAAAAGATGTGATGTTCATTTCGCCCATGGTTCTCCAGTGAATTATCACATGTTCTACTTATCAACAGAACAACCAAAAATGCATGAAACCGCACTTCCAATGGTTATCATGTTCCACACATCTTTAGTCATCCATGGAAGATCTAAATTATCCTGTTTCGGCGCGGACAAACGTCAAGTTCTTCCGCGATGAAAATGGAACTTCGATTGATCAAACAAATTCAGAGAAAAACATAAAACACAGTGTGAAAACAACATTTTCCATCACAATGCCAAAAAAAAGGTTTGTGGACGCGAAGATGAAAAAGATGTGATGTTCATTTCGTCCATGGTTCTCCAGTGAATTATGACATTTTGTACTTATCAACAAAAACTCAAAACATGAATGAAACCGCAATTCCAATGGGAAAAATGTTGCACACATGTTTGGCCATCCATGGAAGATGTAAATTTATCATTTTTCTGCGCGGACAAACTCCGAGTTTATCCGCGCCGACATTGATACTTTCACTGATGGAACACTTTGAAGGAAAGGCAAAAAACATTGTAAAATACAGTGTAAAATCAACATTTTGCAGATCCATACAAATAAATTGCAATTGGCTTCCGGGGAACCCCCAGCCTTCGCCCTACATACATACATACCTACATACATACATACCTACCTACCTACATACATACATACCTGCATACATACATACATACCTACATACATACATACATACATACCTACCTACACACATACATACCTACATACATACATACCTACCTACATACATACATACCTACCTACATACATACATACCTACATACATATATATATATACATACATACCTACATACATACCTACCTACATACATACATACCTACATACATACATACCTACCTACCTACATACAAACATACCTACCTACCTACTACATACATACATACCTACATACATACATACATACATACATAGCTACCTACCTACATACATACCTACCTGCATACATACATACATACCTGCATACATACATACATACCTACCTACCTACATACATACATACATACATAGCTACCTACCTACATACATACCTACCTGCATACATACATACATACCTGCATACATACATACATACCTACCTACCTACATACATACATACCTACCTACATACATACCTACCTACATACATACATACCTACCTACCTACCTACATACATACATACATACATACATATATGTTTATATATATATAATTTTGAAATGGCTGATACGAAACTTGCGATCCGTGGGCTCCGTGCTCCGAAGAGAGAAGTGCGGTGCCAGGATCAACGCAAACGCGACCAAGCTGCTAGAGAAGCCAAGGAGAAAGAAACTGAGACCATCAAGGAGAGCAGCCTGGCCTCGCCCCGACATGAGTAGGATATGCTGATCCAAAGCTGTGTGAAGCAAAGAGAATGTCGAAGTGTTGTAAAATGTTGGAAACAGATGAACCTTATGTTTCCTTGCCTTGGAGTTTAAGCAGTTTAAGCCTTGCTTCTCATTGCTTCTCCCTTTTTTTCCTTTTTTCAAACTTTGCTTGGCTTTGCAAGGAGTACAACCGGGTCCTGGATGAACAAGAGGAAGCCAAGGCCAAAGAATTATCAGAGCGCAGCTCGGCTGCGATGTGCCCGTCTCGCCTGTTTTGTGCACAAACACGTTGAAAGTCAGTCGTTGATCCTCAGCTAAGGCATGGAGAGGCAAGCGCAGCTCATGAAGAAGCTGCAGGCCAGGCCTTTTGTGCACAGACAAGGTGTCACGAGGTGTCACTTGTTTTGGTGACTCAATGTTCGTTGTGTGAACCAACATAGCAGAATGTGAAGACGAATCTCCATGTGCAACAGTGTCCAAACATCAGAAGCAAAGCCGCGAAACCACATTTGTTCTGGAAAGATGCATCGAAAACGCCAGCATTATTCAACATGATAAATCATCATGATCAGTTTATAAACTGTTTATTTGCGATTTATTTGCGCTGGTAGGAAAATGTGAGCTCGATCCGCCAAGAGTCGGGGGACGCGGATGCCACCCGAGCCAGAGCTCAGCAGGAGGAGCAAGATAGGCTCTGCCAAACTCTTCCAAATTCGAAAAGTCTCACAGAATCTCAACATGTTGTATGACACATTTTTGCATATGTTTTGGTACATATATATATATTGGTATTTTTCAACTATGTTTTCTCCGTTTTTCACCGGTTGACCAACGCATGCGACAAAAAAAACGACATCTGCGGTGGAGAGAGGCACTACTTCGAGGCCGAGGCCATCAAGCAGCAGCGGTTGAAACAGATGCGGCTGGAAAACCAGGCGTATCTGTCGGAAACTCAGGGGGGACGAGCGGGGCAACCAAAAAAGAGAGAAAAACAAGAGATGATGGATGGATAGGGATGGATATGGATAAGAACACCTGAGTAGATATGGACAGATATGTGCGATATAGGAAATGTATGGGACATCAATATAGAGATGTGTAGAGCGTACAGAGTATCAATGGACATCAGAGTTTCCGAGACATATGTACGAGCTGAATTTCACGACGGCGCTCACATATGCTGAGGTTGAAACAGATGCAGGAAAGGGACAGTCGAAAAGACGACGACAAGTTCCTTGGCGATGCCTGTGGAAACAGTGGAAACAACGCCAAAACGGCCAAAAACCATTGGAAAGCCGTTGGGAAGCCATTGGAAAGCCGTTGGGAAGCCATTGGAAAGCCATTGGATATACTGGTAAGCTGTATGATGTCCCGAATTTTAAATGTGGCAATGTTTGTTCACTATTGTTCACTGACATATGAGTTCCATGGAACAAGTAAATGCAGAGGGATCTCGGTGTCGTTGTGAAAGCGGGGTTTTTGATGAGGTATTTGACGGACATCCAGGCAGGGTGGCCATGGTACGGGCATGCCATGCCGAAAAGGCAAAGCACCCAGGTCACCCAGGGCCTCCAAAAGGCCTTTGGAACCTGCGACGAATCATGACGAATCATGACGAATCGCAGGCTCAGATCATGGAACGCGACACCCAAGACTTCAACACGGTGGAAAAACAAAAGGCTCCACTGGCTCCACGCTCCAAAAATGTTCAAACGATCATTAATTACACTACACTTTAACCATTTTAATCGTTCATTACACTTGCAGGAGTTTCTTGCTCGTTTCGTTTCAATCGTGGGTCTTTAATCAACTTTCACTGCCGGTCAACATCTGTCGACCGAGTTTCTGGTTTCCATTGCGTCTTACTATGTTTTACTTGCTTCAAATGCAGAGGGGGTGGTTGTTTGGATGGCGCTTTTGGGTGGGGACCTGGCGGGACCGGGAGTATCCGGGAGTGCATGTCAAAGATGGGACATGATGGGACATGATGGGACATTCCTGACATTCCATTTTTCACCATTTTTCACCATTTTCACCTGTGTGCCTGGATGGAAATGGAAACTAGCGGCCCTTTTCACAATTTCCAGCATGTGCCAACAATAGGTCATCGATCGACGTGAGCGAAGTGTTGCTTACCAAAAGGAAATCATTAAACAGTGTCTTGGATTGTCTTGATACGTTCGGAATCGACTTAGAATACTTCAATCCTTTTGGATTTGGGGGTTTGCTATTCATGATGCAGCTGCCTGCTTCTTCTGTGCAAGTGCACGTGTTGTTTGCGCCCCGGGGGAAGCAACTCAGGATGGAATGGAAGGCAGCCCAGCGTGAAATTGAGATGTCTGACACAGAGGCCTCTGCCTCAGAAGAAGCATCGCCTTTCTTACCAACATATTCCAACTTTGCATTGTCTGTTCTTGCTTTGGCATGTCTTGCCTTGGAATTCCACATTTGCACCATGTATTGGTGTGTTTAGAATGAGTCAGACGACAGAATTTAACATTATATTTGCATCGCATTGCTGCTTCCAACCAACTGAAGTAAGGGGCATTCAACCGAAGTGCTTTTGGTTTGCACTTTGATTGTGCAATTGCATGTTGGTGATTGATATACTTTGATGCTTTTGTCTCAATTATGCTAGGAAGAGGCATGATGCTAAGAAGACAAAACCAAGACGAATTATTAGGTACAGGCTGTTTCCTTGCTTCCTGCTGTTGATTAAAGCACTACTAAGCATTATAAGAATCCAGCTGCAGATACCCTGGAGATCCTGCAACAGTCGTGTGTTATTTGTCACAGTTTGTCACTGTTTGTCCTACTCCGAGGTAGCTTTGAACAAGCCCTTGCTTGATCTGGTCGATCGCACATTAGAGCAACGAGATCAAAACATGTCGCCTGGTTGAAATATGGCAGAACTCGGCAGCCGCATCAAACTGGACGGAATGTTGGACACAATGTTTGACAGATTTGAAGAAATATTTGAATACATTCGAGATCATTCGAGATTTAAAGGCTCAGACAGTCATGAATCGCACACACCATGCATCACCACTTCATGTGATCGCTGGGTGGAACGAACAGTGCCAGCGTTCTTTTTTGAGACTGTACTTAATTTTTTCCAGCAGAAGTCAAATCGAAGGATGTGGAATCTGGTAGGAGCGCCTGCGATGTAAGGCAACTGGTCGCCCATATGGAATGAGCTCTCCAGGTGCTTCGGAAAGAGTCCGACTGCACCTTGCAACAGTTTCACCTCAAAGTCTCACCAGAAAGTCCCAAGGTTGAATTTGTGGAAACCGTTCTGATCTGTTAATGTTATAGATCACTTGATGATACTTGATGTAACTTACGATCTAGTTTGGTTCAACCTGGATTCTTGGTGCATCAATGGGAATGCTCCGTTTCCGAGAAGTGTAGCTGACGTGTCACCAGCGAAAGGGCGTCTCCCTACACAGCTGCAACGCAAGAAAAAAGAACCGCTGAATGGTGAAAACATGTGAAAACTCTGAATCTTTCGCTGCGATTTGCTTTGTCCCTTTGAATTGCCCATGAGACTTTCGACATCAACCATTCGTTGAAGATGATATGGCCACAGATGTCACGGTCAAGATATGTCAAGATGGCTACAGGATGCTACAGGATACTGCAGTAGCATTGCCATCAAGATGGTCACTCTCAATTGCCATCAAGTGCCGCTGGTGATGGTTCAGGCAAAGAAGTCCATAGGAACAGAAGCCGAAGGAGCTCGTTTGCTTCAAGAAGCCGAGGAGGAGCAGCAAAACGAGTCATTTTTCTTGGAAAACACGAGGATTCCAGAACAAGTTGGGAGAGGACATGGGAAGACATTTTCAATGTTTTCTGAAATAGTGCTGGAAATGCGCAGGCGGTGGTGTCTATGGCGGATGAGAAGGCACTGGCCGGAAGGGCCTCATGGATGCAGAGACACAAACATTGAAAATAGCGTGCTAAGCGGGCGTCGTGGGGGAACTCTGCATGCACCGCTGCCAGAAATACCAAGGTGTGAACTTCACGTCATATGCAGATATACACAGTAGATGTCGACGAGTGTAGACACAATCAGATCTGAAATTCTGAAAGGCGGCGTCATCTCTCGATGAATCGCAGAATGAACTGTTGAAGCGTTCATGTGAAAAGATATGGAAAGATGATGAAACATATGAAAAATGAACACGAGTTGTACACGACTGATATACTCGGCGTTGTTCACGTTGTGTTCACGTTGTTTTCACGTCGGGTCGGAGGTCGAGGCGGCCGAGACCCGGGCGGAGCTGCGCCAGGCGGAGCAGAAGGTGATTTCACCAAGATCTCAAAAAAAATTGTGATGATTAAGAATGATGAAGGTCTTGGCTCTAAGGGTACCCCCCTTTAGCCATTGCACTTAGCGGGGTTTGTTGTGCGATTCCCCGCGGGCTTGCCGTGCGTTGCGCTGCGCGGCTAAGCCTTTGCGAGCACTTTCGCTTCTCTGCACTGGGCAGATCTCCGACCTTCTTGCAGACTTGAAGCACATCTCCCTTGTGTATGTGCAGGTGGTTTTTCTACCTGCTCCTCGCATTGATTTTTGTCTCAGAGGCTGTGCTCTTTTCTCGGCATCATTGCGAAGACATCTGCTACGCATCGGCGTGCTCTCCGACGAGCCCGGGCGAAGGCCAGATTTCGGTGGCATCTACATCGTGTTGGACTTCGTCCTCTCGATCAGCTTGCTCTACTTCGCTTGCGTGTTCTCCTTGGTGCACATCACAGCCGAGACCCGTGGTTCCTTGCTCGGATTCAAGTTGCGATGTCGAATTCCAAGCCAGTTCCATGGAGGTGCAGGGTGTGCAAAAAGATGGCCAAACCATCAATGCCACGTTGCGCTTGGTGCGGCAAGACTTGGCAGGAGGTTTTGGACACCTCCTTTCAACCGCCGTCTTCCCAGCAGCAGAGGCCCTCACCACATCGTCAGCATCATGGCGGAGACTATCCTTACCAAGGGCAAGGTCAAGGCGGTTATCAGCAGGGGCATACGAGAGAGCAAACACCTCGACGCAAGTCCCGCAAAGGCAAAAGAGGCAAGGCTCAGCAGCAGCAGGGGCTGCAGCAATCTGGGCCACCTTCTATGCCTTCGCAACCACAGCACCTTCCTCCTGGCAATTGGTATCCTCAGGGCCCTTATGGACCCTTTCCTGCTCCTCAAGGTCCTCCGGCCTTTGTGCAACAGTGTTTGGCGCCACCACCGCCTCCACCTATGCCAAAGGCCACCGCAGTTCCTCCAGATCAGGTGTGGGTGCAGCAGATGCAACAGATGCCAGTGTTGGATGGGATGAGCCCTGGGATGGTACAGCCTGGGCAATCGCCGGCTCCAACCTCACAGGCGGAAAAACATCTCCAGAACATCCTTGGTGCATTGCGCAAGTCAGAGGATACTTGGACTCCAGAGGTTCAGATGGCTGTTCAAGAGGTCAAGCTTCAGGCCGAGGAAGTTTCCCTGCAGCAAGTTCAGGACAGTGCTGCCGAGCTCAGGCTTGCGAGAAAAGCGGTCGCAGATGCAGAGGCAGCACGGTTGCGCCTGATCACATCATGGCGTACCTTCCTTCAGTACAGCGTTGCTCGCTGGAAGGAGTACACTCAATTGTTTCAGGGACAAGAAGCCGAAGCACAGACCCAACTGGCTGCTGCCAAAGAGCAATTGCACAATGCTCAGAGGAAGTTTGGGGAGACTTCCGAAGCTATCCGCTCTGGGGCTGGACACTATGTCATTTCCGACGAGGAGGCCGACGAGGGTGCGAAGGCCTTGCCGGACGAAGAGATGAAGGACGAAGCCACGCAAAAGATTGGCCTTGGTTTGTCACAGGTGGTCAATTCTTTACAAGCACTTTCCGAGCAAGCGGAGGCGGAAGAGAGAAAATCCAAACACCTTCGCAAAGCCTCGGATGGAGAAGATGGCGCCTCTCCACCGCAGGCATTGCCATCTATGCAGCCTTTTGGCAAGGCAGGTGTTCAGTGACAAATGTGTGCGTTCACCAGATGCCGTTTTCATTGGAGTTTCGGCCAGAATGTTTTCCCTGGCTGCACTCCATGACCGAAGAGCTTGCATTTACTTCTCCCTGGGTCGCTCTTCAAAGAGCCGAAGAATTGGCATCTGAAGTTGGGTATACCAGTGCCATTCGAATCGACATTTGTCAGCTGTCAAAACCGAAGCGTATTGCAGCCAAGCTGTCCTTTGACCCAGTCATCCAAGTGCGAATCCTAGATGATGACACGTGTTTGGAGCGTACACAAGAAGTGTTTGAGGATGTACTTTCTGGTTGGCCCTCCAAACCGTGGTCATTGGCAGATCCCAGAACCTTCAGTCAGGATTTTTGCATTGACATTGCGGCGTGTTCCGATCAGCTTGCTGCCTTGCAGGTGTCAGTGCCCCTTTCGTCATATCCCGATTGGATGCATGTTCCCAGGCATCCGGCAAAAGACAGTGGGCATGGACTTTTTGAATCAGCTCCTCCTGATGCACCTCTGCATGGACTTTTTGATCGAGTTGGAAAGATGCAGCGTGATCATGATGCCCGTCTTTGCCCTAGTTCCATTAGCCTGTCGAGGTCCGGCCCTATGCAGAACCGGCCTGACTCGACAGAAAATCCAAATTTTCCAGACCCTTCCAGCTCGTCAGATGATGCTCATGGGCACGCTGGACAAGGTCGACGTCCTCTCAGGCATTTTCCTGCGTGGGTTGAAGAGCTCTGGAACATTCTCCAGGACGAGGGTGCCGCAGAACTCCTCGAAGAAGGGCCAGTGACCTACCTCAGCACCTACTATCTCAGTCATCGCAACTGTGTTAGGCAAGCAGACAGCCGACCAATTCGATTGACTCGAAGATATGAAAATTGGAGCGAGGAGATCAAACAGGTATGGGGCGACCATTTTGACCGTTTTGCCGACTTCAGCCTGTTTTTGGTAAAGCCTGAGCCTCCAATTTCCATCACGCGGGGTATCGTCGGCATTGCGTTGGTGGTGCAGCATGCTCAGCCTGAAAGGGCAGCCATTCTGACTACAGCCCTTTTTGATGAATTACCCATGCCACGCACTCGTGAGATTGCTCATGTTCTTGACATCTGGACTGATCACAACACTGTGCTTCACAGAGCCGAAGCATTTGAGGTTTGTGAGGAAGCTCAACGTCAAGGCCTACGTCCTTGCGTCCTTCGTGCCGGAGGGTATGTGTTTCCTCGTGAGCGACCTATACGTGCCGTTGATGGTCTTGGGATTGTTGTCAGTGTTCCCATGCTGCTTGATGAAGACACTTGGAATACATTTGTTCGCCCTCGTATGGAAACCTGGCCAGAGTTTGCTCCGCTACCACCACCAGACAACCATGGTGCTGATGATCAGGTCGTGCTCGTGGCGCGCAGGCCTCGACTACGTGTTCCTTCTTCATCTGGTTCGTCTTCCTCATCTACCGGTGCGACCACCAGTCAGGTAGTGATGTATCCTCTACTCGGTCGGCTACCAGGCCCAGAACGGTGCTTTTCTGCTTTGACGGGATCTCGTTTTCTCGTCACATCATTGACGTTCCTGGACCAGGGCAAGTCAACGAAATCGAAAGTGCGCTTTCTTTGCCTCAGGGAACAGTGTCGATGGCGGTTGGTGTCTCGGAGCGGCCTGAAGACTTCGTCGCGATGGAGCTGCTTTGCATTTTGGTGGTTCAAGCTCATCAACCGCGACCTATTGCCTTTATGCGTCTGACATTGCTCGACCTTGAGATCATTGAGCCCAATGACGTCTTGCCAGGTGTCTTTCAACGCACGGTGAAATGGCTTCCTCACACTACGACGCGGTTGTCACTCTTTCGGGTGCTGGGCCTTGAGCCACTCCTCGCGTTGCATGAGGAGAAGACACACCTCTGGCTCAACAACGAGCTCGTCGATCCAATGTCCAACAGTGCTCTCACGATTGAAGACGGTGACTACGTCAAAATTTTCATTGGGGATGATGAATTCCGGTTCCAATGTGATGTAGCGCCCGATGAGATGGCCCTCCTGCAGATCACCACCAACCCTATCCTTGCGGTTGAGAAGCTCGGTCTTCCTGTAACTGAGATTGCTCCTCAGATTGCTGATGAAAATGAGAGATCTGGTTCTCTGATTGGCCCTGGCCTTGATGATGACGTTGTCGGTCATCCTGCGGTCATTTCCTGCAGCTTTACTGATGAGTTTCTCAGAGCTGTCGACGCCTTGCGCACTGCCACGGAAGCCACACCTGAGTTCCCAGAGGATGACCCAGGTGATTTGTCAGCATATGACTTTTGGGTACAACGTCTACATGAGGCTTGGACCCAATTTGCGACAGTTGGCCCAGGAGGCATGGAAAGACTTGGGCGGGTTGAAACCTGGTTCAATGACCATACAAATTTTCAAAGGTGCCACCATACCCGTATAGCAGTGCTCGGTCCAGATGCTCACCGCTGGGAAGAGCAGCTACGTCATCTCTGGCGGCAATACATTCTTCCTGGTGCGCCTCTCGAGTTCTATATGGTCGAACCTACTCCTGAAGACGCCTCAGGACAAATCATTGGCCAGTTGATCCTGGTACAAAGGCCTCACCATCTGCAACGCTCTGTGGTGATTTCCACGTATGACACCGAGTACGACCAAGGGCGGGCCCACTCCCTGGCTGTGGTGATGGGTGATCACGTGGACTTGCACTCAGTTTGCACTATGTTGCAAGCTCATGACGATTGTCCGCCAGAACGACCAGAGAATGCATGTTCCCTGTGGGAAGGTCCCCGCTTGGTCGAGCCGTCTGAGCGAGTATATGCCAGACATGGCAGCGTCTTCAAGTTTGTCATTCGGCGCTCTCTCAGTGCACCGGCAGGGTATCCTTCAGGCACCAATCTTCAGAATCGAATGGCCGCCATTGATGCCAGGATGCATGCCTCTCATCAGCAGCGACTTATTGAGACATTGCCGCTGTGGCTCCAGGCACTACATCGCATCTTCCAAGATCTTGCAGAAACTGAGCGGGAAGATGAAGGGCCAGTTGCGTATGTGACCACCTGGTACCTCCATGCATCATACGCACCTCGCTGTGACCCTGGAAGGAATGTACGACTTCGGGATGATCCCAGAGATTGGCAGCGCACTTTGCTGGAGGCCTGGGATGACCGAAGGGAGTCTTGCCGACCTGCTGACCTCTTTTGGGTCACCCCTGCGCCACCGACCTCACTCACTGACCATGTTTTGGGACACATTCTCATTGTCCAAGGACTTCCAGTTCATTCAGTTGCAACATTGCTCACAGCCCGTGTGCGAGACCATGAAGGCCAAGCATTACATCGTACGGCGGTTTGTATTCCTCAAAGCTCTTCTGCGGAAGACATAGTGGCAGCGTTTCCAATTCCTGGCCCTTTGTTGAGGTTTCCACGAAGAGTTGGACGTGGACAAACGTATTTTGCTCCTTATGTTCCTTCTCCAGTTGCCTCTGGTGAAAGCCTTGTGATTGACATTTTTGACCCCACACCGGCGCCTACACCTTCAGATGGCTTTGGAGGTGTCAGCTTGCTTCAGACGGGTGTGCGTCGCATCTCATCGTCGTCGTCTTGGTGGAAAGACTCCATGCATGGTAGTGTCTTCGCCAACGACAGGGCTAGTGTTCATCCAGGGCAAATTCATGATGGAGCTATGCTTGAACCTCTTGAACCCTCGCAGTGCCTCACTGGGAATTCCACAGACAGCAAATGTCCTGTTACACTTTCCCTGGAATCTTGCCTGGCTGACCTGCCACAGTACAAGGAGGATTCTTCCTACGTCCCAGAGGGTTTATGTTGGACCACTGAGAATTGGCCAGAGCGCATAGCGCAGGCAGAGGTACAGCTTGCATGGTTACCCGAAGGCCTCAACCTCAAGCCTGTCACTTACCATGCGCTTTGTGATCCCCGTTCATACCTTGAGCCTTCATTTGTCAATTCCACGGTCTTGTTCGTTGATGGCTCTGCCTCAGTGCATGGCGCCACGTGGAGCTTGGTGCGCGTCGACTATGACTATGTTGGTGTCCCTGCTTTGGTTGGATGCGCCGCCGGTGACGTGGTAGTTGATCCTGCTGATCCTCTTTGGATTGGAGCTGACCATGCTGACAATATTTCTGCTGAGCTGACTGCAGTTGCCTCCGCTCTCGTTGCCAGCTTATGCTCATCAGTGCTCCAGTCAGTCATCATCCGACCCGACTTGCGGCTGAGTGCCATGCTCACGGAAGGCCTTTGGCATTGCAAGACGCATACCAAACTGGCTCGTCTCTGTCGCACATTAGGTCAATGGTTTCACAAAGTCCATGGCCGCTTTTGTGAAGTACGAGGGCATGCAGGAGACCCTTGGAATGAACTTGCTGATTCCATTGCTCGGCATCAACTTTTCAATCATTGTTCGCTTGGTTCCGTTGACTGGTCTCCCTTTGCCAGCTTAGTCCAAAGTGATGACCTTGATTGGGCATGGCTCCTTGCGGCACCGCCATGCTTGCATAGGTGCCTTCCCCCAGGCTCCGAGAATGGCATTTGGCAGATCACTCCTTCCTGTCTCAAGCCTGTTGATCCGCCTCCAAGTGGACAGCATCATGACTGGGATGCCATTGATGCAACGTTCCTCACTGCGAATGTCTTGGCACTTGGCAAGGAAGACCAGAGTCTCCCGCCTGAGCATTCTTCAGATCGGGCACTGAGGCTTGATCATCAATGGCATAGTGCTTGCGTTCTTGCTGCTGGATTACAAGAAACTCGCAGACCTCAAGGGTGCATTGTCACGGACCACTACTTTGGATTTGCCTCAGGCCCTCAGATTTGTGAACGTGCCCACCATTTTGGTTGTGAACTTTGGCTCCACAAGACTCAGCCGCTGGTTCCCAACGGGACCCTTACCTTCAAGGACTTCAAAGCGGTCGTTGCTCATGCAGACCCACGACGCCTGATTGTTAACCTTACTCATCGACGTTGTGCTCTCTCTTTTGTTGTGCTACATGTTCCAT